AAACATAAACACATATCACCTGCATCATAACTTCGAGACTAACTTTCTCTCAGCCGAGACTAACTTTCTCTCAGCCTTCCCTTTTGAGTTAGTAAGTTTTAAACAAAAATGAGTGTTTGTGTTTATGTTGACGTCTCACGCACATACTAGTTCCACACCTTTGTTTTTAAAAAAGGGGATCCATAGTTTGTATGTCTTAGTGTTACAAAGGAGTTCCTCTCTTTTAGGGGATCAATAGTTTGAATATTTGGCATTCAAACTAGTTCCACTCCTGTTTCAGGGGATCAATAGTTTGAATGTTTGGCATTCAAACTAGTTCCACTCCTGTTTCAGGGGATCAATAGTCTGTTTGTTGTAGACGAACTAGTTCCTCTCCTGTTGAAAGGGGATCAACAGTATGTGCATTACACAAACTCATTTCTGTTATTCATTTACTGATTACATGGACAAGTTCTTCTATTATGACCAAATTGACCACAATTACCACATTTTCTTTGTGTTGCAGGTGGTTCTAGAGATTGCCTTGGAGAATGTGGTACTTCAATCTCCATTGCAAGGTCTGGTGGATTATCTACACCTGGAGTTGATTGTCGAGATGGTAGAGGTGCATCAGGAAGTTGGCAGGTTACATCTTTACATTCGTATCTGCAAAACAATCTTATCTTTTCGTAAAGGTACCATTTCCTTTTAGTTGACATACCCTTTGGTGGCAATATATTAGGTAGTTCATCTTCCATTATTTGAGCGTCCTCCTTCAGCAAATTGAATTGTGTGACTGGGCCATCTACAGCTTGTCTGGCTGCAACTACACCAGGTGAGGTCGTATTTACAACAAAGTGTTGAAAGCCTTTGATGCCTTTTATTTTCTTGAATAATGTAGCAAAGTAACTACACCAGTCAAGTGTTTCTACAATGAGTTCACCATTGCTACTTCCTACTGGTTGGGCTTTGTTCACAGCAGATGATTGTTCTACAACTTGAATTAAGTCATCCAATGAGTCCACCTCTGCTTTACGGAATTTTTGCTTTAATAGTCCGAAGCACCAGTCTGGAGAAAATTTTGTGTCCAACTGGCAGAAAGGATATTGAAATGGACGCATTGAGTCCTGTCATGACTCTCCATAAGAGGTACTAAAATAAATAAAGAATTACATTTAAAATGTTCATTATTGTGCATGTAATATACTTACTTGAATAACTGTATTACTTTTATTTTACATTGTGCAGTTGTCAGCATTGAAATGGATACTGACTGAGTTGAGGCCATGATTCTTCAAATAAAAATGTACCATGCTTATGACAGGATTTGCCCCTTTACCAGTGTCGAATGATTCATCGATCAAGAAATTAACCTGCTGAGGGATAGCTTCACAGCACACGCCAAATATGCCATATTTCCTGGGAGTAAGAAAATAAATTGGACCTACTTGTAGTGGACTTGAAGGATAGTGAACCTTTAACAAAGTAAGTAAGCTAAATACACTTTCATAATTATCATAAAATGTTACCTGTTGAGCATAATCGAAGCTATAATGTGCTACAATATTTAACATAGCAAGTGGCCTTGTTAGTGGGGGATTGTAATTGTTTGCTGCATCAGTATACAGCCCTTTTAACAATAATTATGCATCTTTTAATACATCCTTATAGTACTCCCTTTTCTTTTTAACAAGACTTCTGTGATCTAGTGCCTTTTGCATTGCCTGAAAATTCTAAATAATACTTGTGTTATTACAATACTGACTTACCTCAGTTATCCTTTCATCTGATTGCATGTTAGCACTTCTTATAATCAGTCCACTTATCTCTTTACAAGTGGCACACAAGTCAGACATAGGCTTCATTTTTTCAATATAAGGCAGGTAGCGTCGCCACAACATGTTGAATGTTGTTTCAGCACATGCTTTGACATAAAGCCCTTCACATGATTCCGCATACTCTAAGTATACCTGCCTTTTAGATGTACTGCATGGTAAGAACTTCTTATTCTCGTAACTTTTCATTCCAGGTATTCTTCCAGGAAGACTGATTCCATGGACTTCAGCGTAATTTCTGATGAAAGCAACAACCCAGAGAATATCATCATAAGTCAATGCATGGTTTGGTGTCTTTCCAGCATTTCCGTGAACTCTAATAAAGTTAAGTACATAACATTGAATTTGTAATTCTCATACCTTGGTATTAATCCATTCATTCTGTAGTTTTTCATGATTTCCTCAAACCTGCTTTTGCCACATGCATGTAGCTTCAGAAATGTTACTCTACATATCTAGTTGAAAAACGATTAATTTTGTGTTGTGTCACTCATAGTTACAAACCTTATGACCTTGATGCATGAACGTAAAAAATTGCCTCTTTCTCTCTTTCTGTCTCCTGTGGTTGCCAGTCGACAATCCCCCCATGGTAGATGTTGCTGCCATTTGACTCATAATAGCAATTTCTGGAACAGGCTTTGCCATGGCTTGTATGTCACATCTATATGTTTTTATGTAAGAGTGACTGAACAGTGCATAGCAATTATCTGAGCAACCACATCCATGTTCAAAGAACTTTGATAATTCTTCTTCCTCCTGTAGGTCTTCCTTCCTCATGTCATCACCAGAGTGAGTAGTTGAAGTAGCTGGAGCATCAGGCATCGCTGATTCTAAATCAAGATCTGATACTTGTAGCTCCACAGCCACCTCAAGATCAAACAGTGGTGGATTAATATCTTCATCACAATTTTTTGTCTCTTTCTCTTCTTTCCCTTCCTCTACCTCTTCTTCTTCCATATCTTCTACTGCTTCATAGTCTGTCTCTATCAATTAACAAATACACTGTATAACTAGGTTTAATATAATAATATTGTGCATTTATACAGGTGATGGAATGTCATTGTTGTGATAGCTAACCGCTATTCACAGTTAGTATGTAAACAGTGTTATGAATAAGCTTACCACTAGTTTCATCACAAAAGTAGTCCCCAAGAACTGAAGCAACGTAGTCACTGTCTCGAGGACCTACTTCTTCATTTAACAAGCGAGCAATGGCTCTTTCTGTAGCCATAGTTTTTATAAGTAGTCTTCTTCGTCTTTGTTATACTTTAAATAGTTGCTATAGAGACTCCATGGTTACCTAATGACGCATTAAAGCCCTCCGTTTTTATTCCGTGATCGCTCCGTGTAACATTCTCCGTGCACAATCAAGGTAAAATGTCGAAGGGCTTATAACTCGGCAAAGAAGGCTTCGCTACCCCTGATTTTGGTATCAAATGAAAGGATTTTGTTTATATAACATGTTTATGTGATAAAATGAATTTCGCCCAGGTAAAGATTTTTCATGATTATGAGCCCATAGCTCAAAATGATAATTCCCACAGATAGCCTGGTTTTCTCATATGGGGTCACATATTCATATTCACTTACTCCAACTTTCGTTGGCTGGGCTAGATATATTACCACAGGAGTTATATGGCATTCCTTGTGATACTAATACACCTGCTATGTATTTGAAGCATGTTGGTACTCATCATTTCCAAGCACTTAAGTCTATTAATATTTCTTAAGCATTGATTGTTGATGGAAAGTGGGTATGGTGTATGTGAGGTCCATCATCTTAAAAAAACATTGGTTGTTTAATGTGACTTACATTTCACTGCATGTGCAATGTGAGTGATGTGTGCAAACTATTGATGCATATCCAGCTAGTATTGCTCAGTATGAAGAGATCTAACTGGATTCAGGAACTGAGATTAATCAAGGTATAACAAATAACAGTAAATATTGATTACTTGTTGCTATAATGGAAGGGGAGAGGGTGTGAATGAGGTTTACTGTTCATTTGAGTTTAGCATTGATTCAAATTTGTGTGACTACAATTTATGTAGGACAGAGCATCAGGAAGGGAGGAAGCTGTCATTATCAAATCTGGATCTTGTTTGTGCCTTGTACTACATGGTAATTACAAATAACAGGTGCATATGGATCTCGGTGCAGCTCAAACATTTTGAAGTCCTGGCGAGAAAAGTTTTGACTAGCATTGAAAGTTGTTATTTTACATGTAGTATCATTCAAGCAGTGATTATGTACATAATAATGATCATTATGCATGTTAATGCTACCATCAATGCTGTGCACATTACATATTTTGTAAATGCTTGCCAGCTAATGTTGTGCGTAATGCTGCCATCAATGATGTGTGCATTATTAAGTTAGTGCTTGCTGGCTGATGTTGCTCATTTGAATGATGCTGCCATCAATGCTGTGCGCATACTAAATGCTTGCCAGCTGATGTTCGGCATCTTTTATTGATGATTGTTGTAACATGTCAATGCCTGATTATTATATTACCAAAAATAATGCACTTTAGAAATTTTTCATGCTCACAATGATACTTTATATTAAGCAGATCATGAAAGTATCTTAACTGATGATAGCATTAGTACGCAATATTGTCTGAAATACATGCATGCACATACATGTATGATGCAATCAGAAACATTGTAGATGCTACCATTATCATTATTAGTCAGTACATGTATGTCACATTCATAATTTATACTGGTATTTAGGATTACAATGTGGTGTTAAAAAGTGAGGTCACACTTAGAATGAGACTCAACAGCTGAAGGGGACATTCGTCTGTGTGAGAACCTGTATTTTGTTAGTAATGTATGTTTGTGACGAACATAAGTTATATCATGTATCTATACATGTACATGTTTAGCATAGTGTACATGTAGTGGATTATTGATGCATTTATTGTACTTGTAGTGTTTGATTATTATTATGCATGAATTTCATCCATTTGTAGTTAGTTGTAAGTATGTATGTACTATAATGAGTTACAAGGGATACATAAGTTCCGTGTGATTGGTAATAAAGTTTGTTCACCATTACTGTTTGTACAACTGTTATTATTAGCCAGTGTGTTTACTTTGCTTGTATTTGTTGTGTTTCTATTACTATGCTTTACAGGAAGTGATAGCTGGAAAGGATTGGATGATTCAGCAATATTTTCATGGCTTAATATTGAATTATGCAATATAATTAAAGCCTATTCTGGATTTCAATTGTTGTAACTAAATTAATTCTTTATTACATGTAACTTGTAGTGCATTATTGATGTATTTGTTGTGCTTGTAGTGTTTGTGACGATTATCATGCATGAATTTCATCCTTTATAGTTTGTTGTAATTACATATGTACTATAATGGAGTTACAAGGAACACAAAAGTTGGTGTCATTGGTAATAAAGTTTGTTCACCATTACAGTTTGTACTGTTGTTATTATTAGCCTGTGTGTTTACATTGTTAGCTTTCTGTTACTATGCTTTACAGGTAATTACAGCTGGAAATAATTTAATAATTCAGCAATAAGTGGGAATGTAATACTTTCATATCATAGTGCATGTCTAACGCTACATTCTCATTTTGCGTGTGGTAACTAAATGTGACCATAATTGACAAAAGGTACCTTATGGCGGGTAGTGAAATTTGTCTTTCTAGCCTAAGAAATCCAACTTCCTGAGCCCCATTCATCATAAAATTACTCCACAGGATGCAAAAAGTTACCATGAAACTTTTAGAAACAATGATTGTCTAACAAAGCACTCACAGGTTGATGTTTTCCATTATAACGATCAATTTTAAAATCCGCCATAAGGGCCCTTTTGTCAATTATGGTCACAAATTCATTTCTAATAATAATCATCATTGTAACATTAAGTCTTTGTTGTAGCTCCTCGATCAGTGGTGCTTTCACAATGGAGGAGGCGCAAGTTTCCAGCTGCATAGTTTTCATACTGTTATAGTCCTAGCAATGGAATATGTAGTAAGATCAATTAGAAAGTTGTGACATTCTATAGTGTTTTATTATTGTGTTACAGATCATGATCTATGATCCAAGGTTATAAATCTTTTGACAATTATCTCATTAACTTTGGCCAATGTAAGTATTTTCTTTATTCTTTATTATAAGTAAGGTATATTACATGTATTTGTATAGTAGGAAGATTGAAGCTCAATTATTTGAATTGATTTGCCTCGTTGAACAAACACTTATTTGAGCATTGCTATTGTAATTTTTGTTTTGGCTTTACGGTCATGCATATAACATTTTGATTTTATTTAACATCTATTGATATTCAATGCAACACGTTTTTAATGTATTTTAATAAAAGTTATAGTCGCTGGCTCCTCATCGGCGCCTTGGCCTTCTGCCCCTGCCTCTGCCAGCTCTTCGTGGTAGATTGAAATATTATTGTGGAATATAAGGATACTATTTAGTACATCATAGTCAAGACTTGCTCTTTGGTGATTAACAGCCCTCAGATGCACCTCCAGGAGAGAGCACTGGCGCCCCTCTAGGAGGGAGCACTGGCGCATCTCCAGGAGGGAGCACTAGTGCCCCTCAAGAAAGGACTAAGGGAGCTCTTCCAGAAGGCAGAATGAGAGCTGGAGGCAGAGGGGGAGCAGGAGGCAGAATTGGAGCAGGAGCTAGAGGGGGAGGAGGGGCTACAGGGGGAGCAGGAGGCAGTGGGGGAGCTGGAAGCAGTGGGGGAGCAGGAGGCAGAAGGGAAGCAGGAGGCAGAGGGGGATTTGTGCTTGGAGACCTACTTATTCTGCAAGAAAAGATTATATACTTGTATAAAGTATAAGCTAAAATTTTGACAAACTAACTCACTGCTTTTAAAGAAAGCTATAGAGTGAGCCTGAGGGTTGCACTTTACTATACTGAGCGGGATAATAAACTGAAGCATGGTTGTCACATCAATAGGGAACTTAAATAGTTTAAAAACAGGATGTAGATTTACTTTCTATGAATGTAAATGAATAATTAATTATTAGCTATGATTTTCATTTGTATTTCAAATTTAAAAAAATTATGGTTGACAACATTGCTTCTAAAATGTGGTATACCGTAGATCAGGAAATTAGTGTGGTACAAAATTTGTATTTCAAAATTGTGCTGTGATTTAATTTTTACTAAATAAGACTGTGTTATGTATAATTGAATGTGGCTTGTAATTATATGGGTAATCTAATTTTTGTGAAATTCTAAATCAGTAAAATGAAAATCACAGTAAAAATTTCCAGATAGACGGTATTTAGTTTATGTATGCACAGTTAGCAAAAAAATTTAAAATCTTGCTGAAGTTTCTTTTATTATTCTGTCATGG